ACGCTCTTATATATATATATATATATATATATATATATATATAAAAGAATGAACTATTATGCAAAATAATTGTACGATTATAACAAATATTTATGTACGTACATATGTATATCACAGAAAGCTATCTGTGTTACTGCAATAATCGTGATATTATGTAAGTTATTAACGTTGCGATCGCGTTCAAAAATCCAAATAAAATCACGACCTCCTTCAAGACAGATTTACGTACTACTTATTTTCTTCGCTTTTTTTTTGTTCTGATCGCGACGACAATAGCAACGACAATGGGACGAATAAAACAATGCACGAGAGGAGGTCGTGCGTTAAGCATACAAACGATATCAATAAATCGACCGATCGCGGATCGTGGAAAAAATCCAATATCACGTACGAAGTTGGTAATAAAAAGCGAGATCTAAATTCGGACGTGGCGCGAAGGGAGGGTGGTGGCCCGACGACTCGAGAGAAAAGCGATGGTGCGGCGTAAGTGCCCCTATACCTGGCTCCTCTCCGCGATGCTATCTCTCCCGTTACGTAGGAGCGTAGAATAATTACGAAGAAATATTGGCCCGTAACTCAGTCCACTATCCATAATATCTGCAACGTTTATGGCGCCTGGGAGATAAACCATCCCCCCGTCTCCCGCTATCTGGTAGCGCGTGCGCCACCGCCGCGACCGCACCACCACCGGTTTCGGTTCACCATCCCCGTTGGTTTCGAGATGCACGTGCGGATGGGTGAGTACTCGTGCACGCCGGGCACTTACAGCACATGCACTTACGTGACGACCGGCAAATACCGCGATCGGATTGATCAGCGATTAGCGGAGACACGAATGTTCGTGACACTCTGCACAGAAACGCGTTTAAATTAAAAAAAAAATCGTTCAACGTAGCTTTCAACCTCGTTGTTAGTGTAGAAATACTGCAAATAAAAACTTTAAAACGAGTTTTAATTCGTCTCTATTGCCGGGAAAATTGTCGATACTTTTCAGAGAATTAAGCTGTATAAACAATACAGTTTCAAATGTATTTAAAAAAATGCACAAATATTATATATGCATTTATGTCATATAAAGCAAAATTAATAAATATTCCTATATTTTACGTGATATTTTTATTCAAACTTTATAACAATAAGTATTATTATATTACAATCAGTCTCTGCATTTTTTATATTGAATATAACATAAAAATCAGTTAAATATAAAACAACAAATTTAATATAAAAATTTTTAATATAAAACAATAATTATATTATTTGTTCAAGCGAGACTTACCGAAAATTATTTTAAAAGCTATTTATTTTATATTACTTGTTATTAGATACTTTATGCTAAAAGGTTAATATAATCAAAGTAAAAAGACATTGTCCTGTTTACCATGATTTTATCTTGTAAATTTTCTCTTGCTGAGTTTACCGTGACATTGATAAAATGTTAATATATCCCACAACAGTTATAAAATATCATGAACATAAATTATCAACCGAAAAAAAATAAGCGCAAAATGCATAAAATAACATCGACTATGTTTGCATCGTGCCATCGTTATTCAAGCTCTATTAAACATTCATTACAAACAGTTCCAGTTAATGGAAATCTGTGTTCGTAACGAACATTTTATTTTGACGTAATCGCGACGTGCCAATTAAAGGGCATTAGTGCGGAAACTATTCTGACACGTGTATCATAGAACATACACAGACCCTTGCCTCTTGTAAAAAAAAATATATAGATATAAAATATTAGATTTTTCGGTATTGACAAATTAATCTGTCCAATTATACCAATGGAAATTTATTAATTATAAGTATGTAAATTATTTCCAAAAATTGCCTTTGGGAAGAACGCGTGTTCAAACAAATCTTCTTTTATAATAATTCTATGCAAATCCAATGACAACGACATTTGTGACGATAAAGCGTTAAACTTGCGCTAACTTTCTTTATTCCTTACACAAATTAAATCTTTTTAAATTGAAAGCTTAACTTGAAAGTATGACAAAAGAAGATGTGGGAAGAAAGTTTCTTGTGGCTAAATAAAAAAGAGTAAATCATATTACAGAAATATTATAATTATATTTCTAGAAATATTTATTTTATTCTCATATTTATAAAGAGCTAATTTGAAAATTAAGCTCGCAAGTTTTCGGGACACTCTGCATTAAGCTGTACACACTTGAGTTAAAGATCAGCGGCAAAATACAACCGAGAAAGGAATGATAAATTCCGTTAATTAAACAAGAAAGAAAGAAATCGGAAACTTTCTTCCTAAATGTAAAAGTCTAACACGGCTGGTGGTTCGCGGTAAACACACATCTAATTGCCGGTATAGCGCACGAGACATTGTAGATCGCACGAGCGATTTCCAATTAGCGATATGACTGATATACCAGAGTTCAAGGAAACAGTTTGAGAAAGGGGTCGTCTGCGTATGAAGCATCGACTCGAAAGTACAGGTGGTTAAGCGCACGCTCGACGCCTGCTGCTTCTGAGTCAAAGGAGAGAAAAAAAATGAAAACAGAGGAAGAAAAAGAGAAGCGAGGCACAGGTAAAAGAAAGAGAGAGTGAAAGAAAGATGGAAACGCACTCGGGAGAAAGAGAGAGAAAGCCATTCAAGGATACTGATTAATTGCACTAGCGAGGTGTATCGAGGCTCGTCTGTTAGCCTGCAGA